GGGGGGGGGGAAGAGAAATAACTTATCCTTTCTTTTGAAATAGGAAGAAAATTCATAGGTGTAACTCCATGTTGACCAAGCATGGTTGCATATTTGTTTTGCTTAGAACTGGGAGAACACTGGAGGAAATTGTACGGCAGTATGGACAGCTACTGAATGCTTCTCTGCCTGCAACGGGTAGCTGAATAGAATACACAGAAGGTGTACTATAAAAGTCCATTTTATGGACACACTGAAGATACATTATCCAGAAAGTGAACTTTTCAGAGGAGAAACCTTACTTCTGCTAAAAATAATGAAAAAGCAAAGGTAATTACTCCTAATACCAAGTTGCCTGTAGATAGTTTGAGCGTGCACTCGTTGCTAAGCAGTGTACCCTCTCCATACATACAGACACACAAACACATACAGCCCTCTTGACATTGTTAGCATCCAGGAGTTCCAGGAAATGTTCCTGCAAATAGTTTGTGATGCCAGAATCAGTCCATGGAAAGCTGACAGGATAGCTTGCAACGATAGGTTGTTGTAAGCAGGTCGTGCAGTGAAAATTGCGTGCATTTCATAGCTGCTTCTGAAAACTAGTCTTGACTATTAAGGCAAGAGGCAAGTCCATGTGTGTGCCATGGCTGCTCTACCTTTTGTGGATTTTCTGTTTAAAACTTGGGGCCAACTATAACCTACAACCTTGTTCATGGATTTTGGGTTTTTATTGATTTATTTAGTTTTTGATAATATTTTATGGATTGTTCTCAGGACAGTTCTGCTCAGGGATACTACATGTTCCAGTGCAGACAGGGAATTAATTAATTAATTAATCTATCAGATTTCAAGGGCACCCATATCCTAAGCAACTCTGGGTGGCTTATAGTTAAAAACCTCAACCTTATAGATAACACAGCTGACCAGAAGAGCAAAACATACACCATAAACCTACCAGAACCACACTGAAAAAAAACAAGACCAAAAAAAAAAAAAAAAAGGAGGGAGGGCTTTACAATCACCTTGTCCCCAGGATCTGGGAGAACAACCAGGTTTTCAATGATCTCCTAAATGACATAAGGGTGGGAGGGGTGGCTTATAGTTAAAAACCTCAACCTTATAGATAACACAGCTGACCAGAAGAGCAAAACATAGGGGTCAGAACGGATAGAACCACACTGAAAAAAAACAAGACCAAAAAAAAAAAAAAAAAAAGGAGGGAGGGCTCTACAATCACCTTGTCCCCAGGATCTGGGAGAACAACCAGGTTTTCAATGATCTCCTAAATGACATAAGGGTGGGAGTCTATAGTAGATGCAGCTTTCTTAATCGTCATGCAGATGGGAATAGTTTTTAGGTGTCTGTGGCCACCTAGATTGGCTGTACCACATTCACTGTCCCCAGTAGCGTAAAGTCATAAAATAACACTTCCATGTAATTGTGGCTCAGCAGAAAAAAGAAGCTTCATCCCACCACTCTATGGCAGTCAACAATGATCATCTTTCACATGAACAGGACTCTTGATCAGCTGCATTATATTATAGTTTGTCTTGCCTCGTGTCACTCACGAGGAATCCATTCCAAATGGAAAAGCTTTCCACAAAGGTATTAATTTTCCTAAGATGTGCAGTTCTGCCAGTTTCCTTTAGACATGCTATAAATGACACGGCTAAAAGAATGACATCAAAATGGCCTCAGATTAGATGAGTCCCTACCAGGCTAATAAGTTCATGTTGGTCCATGTAAACATACTTTCTTTACAGGAAGTGCTAAGGTCTTTAATTGGCCATTGATCTTGCTGCCAATGGCTCACGGGCTGATGTCCACATTAACTAAGGCTGAAGGAAGTGTTGGCTTTCAACCAAGTCAGTGGGATACCCAGCTGGAGGCAGATAGGCACAGTATCTGGAAGGAACCCCAAGCCAGCAGGCTGGAGGGACAGAACCCGGTTTCTACTCTGCTTTTTGGCTACCCTCACATTCAAGGCATGCTTCTGGTTGCCAATGAAAGCGCTCTGAGGATTGCTAAGCTACCTCCCTCCTGTGTGTGCTGTGGAGCCTTCAGTGCTCACTGGCCTATGTTATTCTAGTGTGTAGACGCTGGGCTTCCTCTTGTTTGCCTTCCAAGTCCTCTGGCTTAGGCTGGGTTGGACTCGGGAGTTTCCTTATCAGTCCTGTGCAGGCAGCTCCTGTGCTGCTTATCTACAAGCTGCAGAACATCCCCCGTCCAAAGAGGGCAGGAAATCTCTCTCATGCAGGGGAGGGGAGGGGAGCAGGAGGGGCGGGAAGGGGGAGGGGGCTTGGCCCAGGCTCCGTCTTCAAAGCAGCTCCTTCCAGTGGCCAAAGAGAGCCTGTCAAAAAAGAGAAGTGGCCACAGGGGGGATTCAGAGGGAACAAGGTGGCAGGAAAAGCTGGAGCCTAATTGATTTGACGTCCCCAACACCACTGCTAGTAACAATAATAATTATTTGCAAGCTCTGGCTGAGGGAAGCAGTGGAGAAGAGAGGAAGCAGCCGCGAATCATGGCCCCCAAGCATGGCAGCCAGCAGCAGCCATGTGGCTGACACCGAGGGTAAATTCCTGGATAATGCCAGCGGGTTACATCCTTTCCAGACTCTAGAATTGGACCTCCTCAGCACCTCGTGTTTCATCTTCAGGTGGACTCTCGTGGCACCCTCTCTACATGTCCCTTCACCTTGCCATCCAGGCCTCCTTACAACCAGCAGTCAGGTGACCCTTCCTTTCCCTTTGAAGATCCCCAGCAATCACCCGGAATTTTTCCATCTGCCTGCTCGCCAGCAACGGGGACTCAGAGATGTCTGTCTTTGACCTTTGGAAATTGAAAGATGGCTTCGGTCAGGCGCATTCGGACAGGTGAGGAACGGCGCATTGGGGGGTTGGTGGAGAAAGCACGTTTCTGGGCAAGGAAGAGCATTTCGGCAAGCATTTGATTTCAGGAAAGATTATGGTCCAACGTCTTTCCATTCATGAGCTCCACACAGGCTGGGCAGTTGGAGCGGTTTCTCTTTCTTGCAATTTACTGTTGACCTAGGACTAAATCTCTTTTTTACCACTACAGTACATAATACCATGCATGTTTTCCTTGTATGCAATGCTGTGTCTTTTTTTCCTTTCGTAGTAAATGATCTCTGTGTTTTTATAACTATTTCCTTATTGTATCAAGCAATCTACAAAAAGGAGGCTTGGGGCATCTACTGAAATATTATGTTTTCTTAACACTTCTTACTTCTTTTGATTTGCCTTTTTCTCACTCTCTCTCGGTTTCTTTAAACGCCCAGTTTAAGAAAAGCAGTCACCTCTGTAAGCTTTAGAACATACAACTGCAGAATGAAAATTTCATACTACTTCTCTATAATCACAAGCCAGATAGATTTTGCATTAAAATCTAAATATTCTAAAAATTAGAATAACATCCTGCTGGCAATTATAGCTGTTACATGAATCTTCATTTCTCTGTGTAATGATTACAATTAAATAATTTCCATACATCAATAGGTTTACAACTTCCAGTTACACTTTTCATTTGATTTTCAAACTCTCCTGAGTTCTTTAGTTTTTCTTAGAACACATCATTGTTATCATTTAACTTACAGTGATATATCTAATTTGTCTGACAATTGCATCCCTTATCATGTCGTATCAGCCTCATGGTTTCCTTCCAGGGTGCAGTTTGTAGTAAAATCAAGTGATTTACTTGGTTCAATGTATTTCATAAGATTAAATTCAAAGCCACAGCTTCTTCAAGAATCCTATCAGAATGACACTCAGTATTCTTTTATCTGTAATTCTGACTTTCTCTACATTAGTCTATACTAGATTTCTGTCATTATATTCTATAAGATGAGGACACATATGATCATTTATGTAAGAAGTATGTTTGATATAATTGCAGAATGATACACTGATTACAGAATATACTCTACTTTTAAGGATAAGTTGGGATATATATCTCTAAAGTATAGAACTGACCTCGATATTTTGGGAAGTTGGAAATATTAAATAGGGAAAGTGATTTTTTCCTGCTTGTTTTAAGGAAGGCCTTTACAACCATTACATACTTCCTCTGTGACAAACACTTCCGTGTAGAAAAAGGAATAAAAGCTGCCTGTATATTGTCACATGTGACATTGCACACACATATCTGCTTTGGTAGGAGCACATGTGCTGGAAGTCTGAGGATCCTTCTGTATGTTCTTCCCATGAACAACCTGGAAAATTAAGTGTGTGTGAAATTGTCCCAACTGAGAATCAACACATATGAAAAATGCATACACTGGGCCTTTCTTCTGGGAGAAATTGTAATGCCATTATGTCACACAAACACTGTTGAGTCTTATGCTAATAAAATATCATTACATACATAATAACACCCATTTTCTGTGTACACACAAACACAAAGAATGTGTTATTTTGTATATGACTATTCCACACACACTTACATGCATACATGCCTTTCCCAGCTCTCTTAATATCTCTAATTGTCTGTCTGTCTATCTGTCTATCTGTCTATCTATCTATTTATCATGGCAAGCCTCAGGTCCACAAAGCATCACAGACTTACTTATCTCTGCTTTATACACTTGGATGTCAAGTGGACTGTGGCCACACTGTATTTTTATGTTGTAAATAAGGGGTACAAATTGTTGCTCAACAGCTTACCAACATCCCTTTTGTAGACTCAGAAGCTCCCAAAGAAAAGGTGGGGTCAACAATGTGTGCCCCTTTTCACATTTTGGAGATGTTTTAAGGGGCAAAATGGGTGCCTGACACTTTATAAAATCTTAAGGTTTCTATTGTACCCCTTGAAATCCCTGCCTCCACCCCCCAATGGCTCCACCTTCCTCCATTTTTGGAGTGAGCCTCTTGATATGCCAGACAAAGCTTGGAGTGGGTCTGTATTGTGCATAGTTTAATCAATGCTTTTCAGAAAACAAAAAATAAGCAGTTGTGCTAGCATTAGCAAAAGAGATTCATAATCCACTTAATTGGAAGTATTTTGATTTTAGTCAGTTCCACAGAAAGTTAGAGAACAAATTTAGTAAAGACTTAATTACCTCTGTTTAGTTGTGGATTGACTGTAGTGAAATTTCCATAGCTATTTAGCGCTCATAATGTACTACGCACCCCATTTTCCCCTTTGCGTAATAGCTGCCCTAATGAAGAGCTGCCTGCCCAGAACTTGTGAATTTCTAATAAGGCTGCTGCTCAGCTTCAGAGTATATGATAACTCATGCATTTCAGTTGCAGCTTTTCAAAAAGCACTTTCTGCTTTAAAATTATAGGCATATCCAAATATAAACATTTAAAGGGAGCTCTTCTTTCCCTTTTAACTTAGGTTAAGAATAGCTTTGAAAGAACCTTGGATTCTGCTGGTTGGGAAGCCAAACCCTCCTGATGACATTTGCAAAACCATTTCCTCAATTTTTCAAACATTTTTATTGCCTGATACGGGAACAAAGGGCTGAGGCAATGCCTCAGCATGTGCTTTGTTGTTATTTTATCTCCTTCATTTCAGTTACCTGCCTTGCAAAATGTCATCCCATCTTTCTCAGCTATGAATCAGAGGAGTGGGAAGGGAGAGGCTTTCTAAACATGATCTCTTTTGTACTGAGTAGATGGTCAAGACTTTGTCCCTCTATTTGTTGCTTCATAGTCTATTCAGAAAGTACCATTGACAATGACATTCTGTTATTCGTGTACATGTTTTTATATGCACTCAGTCTGATAGAGTTTTGACTAAAGACCAAGTAGCTGTGAAAAAGGAAGTGCAGGGAAATCCTTTAAAATAAAAATTCATTGGGGAAAAATGTAAGCATTCTCTGAACATGTACTAAAACTATATCTTCCAGAACTGTACTAGGCATTTTTCATCACTGAAAGGTTAGAACAGTCTTACCTCATGTGTCACCATCCAGATGTACTGGATTATCTCCCATCATCACAAGCCAGCATGATGCATGATGGGATTTGTAGTTCTGGAAGGGTTGGGAAGCTAGAATGACCATGGCAGCTGAACTTATGGCCAAGGCAGGTGCAAACATGAACCCATAACAGGCCCCCCCATTCTCTATATTGTTAGGCACACTCACCATGGGACATGGTCATATAATACTGTGGACCCATTATCTCCTTCTCTGTTCAGCTGGCCCTGTATGATCCAGGATGACTGGATTAGTTGTGTATTGGTCATTTTTAAGCCTCCAGACTGCCCCAAATACAGCTGGAAGATGCCACATTCTATCCCCTCTCCTGTTAACACTACAAAACTTTGGAGACCTGATCAGAACAGGTGCCCCAAGTTCTCTGTTTGCCCCTTTTCAGTTATGTGTGGCCACAAAGGGGAGGGAGTGAAAATTAAAGCAACAATATACTCAAAGAGGACTTGTCTTAGATGAGGAAAGGACAAGTTAACTTACGGTCAGCTGTTTGAACAACATAGCAATTACTCCTTTCCCCATGAACCCCACAAGCCAGCATGCAAGCCAGCTACTGAGTCTCACTGTGCATTTTTTCAGCCCCACTCTACATCTTTGGGGGCCACTGGTAGGGAGAATTGCTGATAGGAAAGGTGTTTTCTGCAGCACCTCTGGAGTGAGTATAACCTCTTCCCTTGCCCTGAAGATCAAATTCCAACTGTTCTTCATACGGTAACTGACAGAGCACGAACACAAAGGACAACTTTGTTAATTGCAGATAGGTTTTAGATGTTTTGTCATTTCAAGTCATAATGGTGTTGATCACATCATCTCAAAAAAGATCTCATAGGGGAAAAAAACAGAATGGAAAGTCATCTTAAAAAAAATAAGGCTAAGACATTTTGGGCTTTTGGTTCAAGAAAAAATATCACAGAGGAAAGAGTTTTTTTAATGAATGATTAGCAGAACCAGTTGGAACATTTTCTTCTCTCATACTATAGAAATGTTCTAGGTGTAGGCCTCTTTAGGTACATATCGAAAAGCATGTGCCATCTTAATAGATTTGCTTGGGTGCAAAAATAGGTAAAAGTAACAATGGAAAAACAGGGTATAATAATGTCTGATTTGCCCAGAAAAGACAAACCTCTTCTGGAAGCCCCTTGGATCGCAGAGAGTAGAATCAACTTCTCTCATCCAATGGGAGGTTTCTATCAATGGGATGGGGAGAATGTGATTTTCAACTATTCTCTCTTTCCTGCAACCACCTATAGTCTCTCAAAATCTGCTCTGGAGGCCAGAAGAAATTTCTGGAAAAGATAGAGAGTTGAAAGTCTCACTTCTCCCTGCTTGTCAGCAGAGGGAAGATTGTGAGATGCATGGCATTGGTTTCAGGGCTGAGAAAAGCACAATCTTCTTCAACATTAACTATTATTATTATTACTATTATTATTAATTAAATGTAATGTTGCCTGACTCCCAGGCACTCTGGGCAGTTTACAAACGATTTAAAACATGAAACATGACAATAAAAACAACAAACAAAGAAGGGTAGAGATGACAGAATGACAAACCAGGTGGAAACAAAAGAAAACAACCGAAGTTAAAGGGAGGCTTCAGTCATGCCCACCAAAGGCCTGGGTGAAGAGCCAGCTCTTCAGGCCTCTTCAAAACACTAACATTTGAAACTTTGTGACCACCATGGGCAGTCTATATCTGAGTAGAAAACAAGAAGCATGGAGTCTTGGTCCTTGCCTGTCAAGCAAGTGAGACACATGGCTGGCCAAATTTGAAAACAATATGCTACATTTGATAGATTTATCTGGTGATGTATCTCTTAAGTTCTTCTTTCCACTTTCCACTTTCTCTCTTCATTGACAAAAGAATACAGGTAGGAACAAAGCATCTGTCAACTTGCTTTGACCAGTTATCACTTGTCTC